ATATGGGAGCAGGGGAGACAGCACAGAAACTCAGGCAGAAGTAGGGTCAAGGGCGGGCAGGCTTGTCAACACTGTAGAGCAACAGCCTCTGGCCTCCTGAACAAGGATCTACCAGCAAGGAAGGTGAGTGGTGGGGGAGAATCAGGAGGACTGCTGGAGCAGGGGTGGGGGAAAGGGGAGGCTGGCAAGTTTGGCAACTAGTGCATAAGTGCTGGGAGCTGGGAGACGGCTCAGTTGGTAAAGTGCTTTCTGTAGGATCATGAGGACTTGAGTTTGGATCCCCAGCACCCACAGAAAAGTCAGGTATGGCTGCTCGTATTTGTAATCCCAGCAATAGAGAGGCAGGGGCAGGAAGGTCCTTGGAGCTCACTGGCAGCCAACCTGGCCAAATTGTAGAGCTCCAGGTTGAGTGAGAGGCTGTGTCAGTAAAACTAAGGTGGAGAGTGATCGGAAAGGGCAACTGAGGTTGACCTCTAGCCTCCACATGTGTACATGCACCTACATATACACGTGCACAACCCCACGCAAACACCTAATACGCTATGCACACAGTTCGAATGTTTACATATCAAATATAACACTTTCATCAAGCTATGTGTATTTAAGTTAAAATAAATATCAAATGTTTTAGATGGTTTTCTGTCACTGTGGCAAAATATCAGTAATGGACAATTTTTTTTTAATTTTTCTTTTCTTTTTTTTTTTTGAACTCATTATGTAGACCTTGAACTCACAGAGGTCCACCTGCCTCTGCCTCCCAAGTGCTGGGACTACAGGCATGTGCCACCGCGCCGGGCTAGTAATGAACAATTTAAAAGGAAAGGTTTATTTTGGCTCAAGGCCTCAGAGGTTTCCTTTGGGTCCCTGGCTGGGAGCATGTGGTGTAGTAAAGCTCTTCATGTGAGACGCTAAAGAGAGAAAGGAAGGGGAGGGGTCCCAATACTCCTTTAGAGGGCACACTTCTTCCCCAGTATTCTTAGTCCAAGGAGGTCCTACTCCTGAAAGGACCCACCGACACTCAGTAGTGCCATCAGCCAGAAACCATCCCTCCAACACACCAGACCTTAGGAGACATTTCAGATCCAAACCATAACAAGTGCCTATTACACCTAACTAGAGCTGTGCCAAGCTTCACTAGGGAGGATGAAAAGCCAGAGAGATCCCCGGCCTCCCAGAGCCAGAACCATTTAGAGGGACCACAGCGGGAGGCTGACAAGTGGCAGAAGAGAACAGAGAAGTGCACATCCTCTGCCGGCAGGATGGAGGCTCAAGGGCAGCATCCTGGGAGGTCACGTGATCAGCTGTCTGCATGACGGGCAGCGTGGTGGTAAGGACGGGTGGTTGAGGCAGGCTGCACTGAGCAAGATACAAACGCCACGTAGCCGAGGCTGTGCGCCTGCATCCTAATGACCACACACAATAGCTGAAAAAATCGTGTAGATTTAAAAACTTTAAATGTTAAGTATTATCATTGGGGGTGGGGGGCATGAATGTGGAGGGCAGTGGACAACTCTGTGGGGCAGTTGTCTCCTTTCACCTTTATGTGAGTTCAAGGACCAAACTCAGGGCAGACTTGTAGGACAAGCATTTTAGTTTTACCTGCTAAGTCATTTTGTTGCCCAAATTCTATGGTTTTTTAAGCACTGGAGAGTACAGTGAAGGGCTGGGGAGATAGCTCAGTTGGTAAAGTGTTTGCTCCACAAGCATGACAACCTGAGTTTGATCCCAACATTCATGTAAAAAGCCAGGCAAGGTGGTGTGCACTTGCAACCTCAGGACCAGGAGTGTGGAGATGGGGAATCCTACGGCTTGCTGACCATTCAGCCTAACCTAATCCATGTTCCCCAGGGCCCAGTGAGAGACACTGTTTCAAGAACCTAATTAGAGTCACAGAGACAGCTCAGTGGATAAAGGAGCCAGCAGCCCAAGCCTGAAGACCCTGAGCTAGATTCTCCATAAAGATGGAAAGAGAAAATTGACTCTCTGGGTTGTCCTCTGACTTCCACCTGTGCATGTATATACACACAAACAGGTAAATGTTAAAAAACCAAGATGAGTGCCAGGTGTGGTGGTGCACGCCTTTAATCCGAGCACTCAGGAGGCAGAGGCAGGCAGATCTTTGTGAGTTCAAGGCCAACCTGGTCTACATAGTGAGTTCCAGGACAGCTGGGGCTACAGGGAGACCCTGTCTCCAAAAGACCAAACCAAACCAAATAAAACAAACAAAAAACCAAGATGGACGGCCTCTGAGGGACAACACCTGGGGCTGACAACACCTCTAGCCTCCACTTGCATGTGCATACATGTGCACATGCACAGACACACATGCACAGGCACACATGCACAGGCACACATGCACAGACACACATGCACAGGCACACATGCACAGACACACATGCACAGGCACACATGCACAGGCACACATGCACAGACACACATGCACAGGCACAAGTAGGATCAGTATGTCAATACTTCACACAGAAAGTGTGTGTTAAAAATAGGATGAATAACCAGGTGTGATGGCAAGCACCTCTAATCCTAGCCCTCAGGAGGCAGAGGCAGGCGGGTCTCTCTAAGATGGAGGCCAGCCTGGTCCATATAGTGACTTCTAGGAGACCCTGTCAAAACAAAAAGCAAAGCAAAACAAAACAACAAAACAGGAAGAATATAGAGATACGATTCCAAGTGAGCCAGAAAAAGTCCAAGATAAGCATCTTGAAATAATGCCAGTTTACTGAGATGTTATGATATGTGGGTGCTGGGATTCTAACCCAGGTCCTCTGCAAGAGCAATCAGTGCTCCTAACTGTTGAGTCATCTCTTCAGCCCCCTTCACCTTATTTTTTTGAGACAGGATCTCTCACTGAACCTGGAGCTCACTGACTTCTATACTGCCCAGCCAGCAAAACTCAGGTATTCTCCTGTCTCTGTCTGGTGCTAGGATTATAGGCACATACAATCAAACTTGACTTTTTTTTTTTACATGGCTGTTGGAGGTTGAACTCAGGTCTTCATGCTTGTACAGCAAGCATTTTACCTACTTAAGCCATCTCCAAGCCTACTACTATTTTTTAAACATGCCAGCAGAATACTCTAACTGTACCACTGTGGTAGACTATGAAATGTGTTTGGCTTTTATTCTTGGTTCCTGTTTTGGAGCTCTTAAAACCTCTGGAATTTCCTGATTGAAGCACACTAACTTTTGTCTCTCATAATAAAACCCCTTTGGTGACTTCCAGGTTTGTACTAACAAGGTTATAGCAGAATAGGGTGAGGCCCTTGATAGCCTCAGGATGGGGCCCAGTCATCAGAAAGACCAAGCAAGTGTAGGGGGTTGCAGGGTTGGAACTTTCAGTCCACCTGCTGAAATCTGGGATGGAAGGCTGGAGACCAAAATATATAAACACTTTTTGAGGAAGGATCTTGCTATTTAGCCCAGGCTGGGCTCAAATCTGTGATCCTCCTGCATCAGCCTCCAGAGTGCTGGGATTACAGTTGTACACTATCATGTCTGGCTATACAATCTCTTGAACAAGACTTGATGAGCTTTCAGTGTGGTGAGTGCATCTGCACACCTTGAGGGCCCTTTGTCCTCAGTCACTGCTCATCTACATCCTGTTTAATAAACCAGTGGACACGTGTTTCTCCATTCTGTGAGCTATCCTAGTGCATTCACCCATGGTTGGCAACCAGTGGGTCAAGATTAGAATGACCTGGACTTGGGATTGGCCTCTGAAGGGGGAGGGGTGCTGTCTTGTGGAACTGAGTCTTCAAGCCCATGGGATCTGATACTAGTATCAGAATTGAATGGAATTATGGGACACCCAGTTGGTACCTGCAGCAGAGTTGCTAGATGTGTGAGGGAACGAGAGTCCCCACCCAACATGTACATCCTGTCATGGAAGTGCTCTATGTTGGCTATGAGGACAGAAGGGAGGGATTTTTAAAAAAAATTTCATCTTCATTTACTTATTTTGTGTGCGTGTGTGTGTGTGTGTGTGTGTGTGTGTATGTGTGTTAGAGATGTGGCACATGTGTGTAGGTCAGAGGACAGCCTGTAGGAGTCACTTCTCTCCTTACATTATGTAAGTTCTGGAGATCAAACTCAGGCTTGGTAGTAAGCATCTTCATCCACTGAGCCACCTTGTCTTCCTAGGAATTTCCTAACAGTCATGAGCTCTGCTCAAAGGGCTATATATTATTTTCTGAATGTAAATACTGTATATAGTCATCCTTGGTATCCATGGGGAATTGGCTCCAGAACGCTTATGGATACTAAAATCTGAGGATGCTCAAGTCCCATAGATAAAATGGTACCATATTTGCATAGAGCCTATGTATTCTACCCTGTATACTTTAAATCATCCCTGGATGACTTATGATATGTAGTACAATGTCAATGCTATGCAAATTGCTGTTGAAGTCTATTGTGTAGGAAATAATTACAAGATAAAAAGCATGTCAATACATCTTCAGTACAGAAACAACCACTGTAGGTATAACTATTCTCTAGCACAGGGCACCAACTACCCACTTAGTTTGGCTGAATCCAAGGATTCAGAACCTGCAGACCATTTGATCATTAGCACCATGAGTTTGCTTCAAAACGTACTTTCATTTTGAATGTGCTGGTTCACCTCTACACTTACACACACACACACACACACACACACACACACATACACACCTGCTGTCATCTAATAGTTGTGTTCATACAATGACTTTCTGTTTGAATAGCATTTTTTATGTATGGAAATGTGTGTTAATCTTCATGTGGATTTGACAGTCCTTTACAAACACATTAAAAAAAATCTTCTAAACCCATTTCATTGAATTAGTGAGGAAGGCTGTCTTGAAAAGGTTGTTCTTAAAAACAAGATTATCTGAAAGAGGTCCAGAGTTTACTAACCAAGATGTATTTCCTCACAAGTTCCATTTTAGTGGTAATTGTTTCTTTCAGTCCATTTTAGCAGGAAAGGCTTTGGTTCTGCTTGTTTGCTTTTTTTTTTTTTTTTTTTTTAAAGCCCAGGCTGGCTTTGAATTTGTGATGTAGCAAAGGATGACCTTGAATTCCTGATCGTCCTGCTTCCACTTCCTGAGGGACGGGGTTGTAGGTGTGAATCCCTACACCCAGGTCACAGAGTCTTGTGTGTCTGTTGTTCAGTTTTCTGAGTACTGTGGAAACTTTATTAGAATGCAGTTATTAGAACTTTGGGATTTTCTTCTCTGTCTACTGAGACTCTCGATTTTTTCCCGCATCTGAACCTGAAAACAAAATAGCTGCTGAAGAAGATTAAACATTTTAGGTTCCTCTCCTCAGAATGCCAAACTGACACTGAAGAGCACGTCTCCATCCAGTGAATGAAAAGCATTTCTATATTTAATGAACAAATCCTATTTATTTCATTGTATTTTATTATTTGGGGCTAATTTCTTTCTTTCTTTCTTTCTTTCTTTCTTTCTTTCTTTCTTTCTTTTTTTCTTCTTTTTTTTGTCTTTTTGAGACAGGGTCTCCCTGTAGCCCCAGCTGTCCTGGAACTCACTATGTAGACCAGGCTGGCCTTGAACTCACAGACATCTGTCTGCTTCTGCCTCCCGAGTGCTGGAATTAAAGGTGTGCGCCACCACGCCCGGCATGGGGCTGATTTCTTAATTAAACATAAAGCCCAGAATCTAAATGCTTGGTTTCCTTAAAGAAAGGATAGAGGAGAGGCACAAAGCTCATGGCAATACAACTTGATAGTAGTTAAAACATCACAGAACACTTATCAAATATTGGCACCTGTCGGTGTACAAGGTCTGTGAGGGGTCAGTATCCACACACATATAAACAGCATTATTATGACCAGCCATGGTAAACACTTTCTCTTATATAACCTCAAAATAGCCATGTATACACCCATATAATAAATGGGAATGCTGAGATTTGCAGAAACTTAAATAACATGTCCAAATTTATGAAGTAGACTTGGAATTTAAAGCCAGGCAAATTCAGCTAAGAATTTATATTTTATTTATTTATTATTTGTATGTGTGTTTTGCCTGCATATATGTATATGTGTGCCATGTGTGTGCAGTACCCATGGGGGCCAGAGGATGGTGTTGGATTCCCTGGAACTGGACTTATGGATAGTTGTTAGCCGCCATATGGGTGCTGGGAACTGAACCCAGGTCCTCTACAAGAGCAGCCAGTGCTCTTAACAACCGAGCCATCTCTCCAGCCCCAACAACATCTCCATCTTACCATTGAGCTTTAAAATGTTTGCTGAACTGTGGTATCATAGAAAGATATTTGGTCTTTGCCTCTGGTTCCTGGCACAGAACTCTCACTTGTAATTTTCTGAGTGATAAGGGTGTTGAGTAATTTTTGGTTCTATGGGGTGGGGCTCTTAGCTAGCTACAGGATGGGAACTGGTCACCAGAAGGAGAAATCCTTGCTCTAGGAGCCTGGAAAATTTCAGCTACATACTGTCAGCCTCTGCTGAGAGGAAAGGGATGGGGATGGAGTTAATAGTCAGTTAAGCCCATCTGAAACCTTTGTGAGAATCTGTGAACAGGAGGGTTTGGAGGTCTTTTGAATCACTGGATGCATCCATGGGTCTCTCTGGGTAGAGGTGCACCACTCTCCTGATGCTTATCACTCAGAAAATGACAGGTGAGAGTTCTGTGCCCCACACTCAGGACCCTTCCAGCAAATACATGTGTCATTAGTAATATAGTGCTAATAGAAGTGAAGTCTTTCCTTGAGGTCTTCAAGCCTTTCTAGCAAATAATTAAAGCCAAGATGGGCAGTGTGGAAACCCCAGACTTTATAGCCAAGTGAGACAGAGTGCGGGTAACTTGCGGCTGACATCTGCAGTATGGGATTGGGCCCTGACACCTGTGGGGTCTGATGCTAACCCTAGGTAGTGTCAGAATTGAACCAGATTGTAGGACACCCAGGAGGGGTCAGAAAGAGAAAAAAAAAATCCCATATAATCTCATAGTCCTCCAAATAACTTGCACACTTAAAAATATGTATTTCTTGTGTATGTGTCCATGTGTATGTATGTGTGTGCACATATGTGTAGGTGTATGTGGAGGCCATGGGTCGATGCAGTGTACCTTCATCTATTTCTCTCCATTTCCTTTTTTGAGATAGGGTCTCTCATTGAACCTGCAGCTCACTGACTGGTCTAGACTGGCTGGCCTGCAAGCCCCAGGGTTCCTCCTGTCGCAGTTTCTCTGGCACAGGGCTCACAGGAGCAAGGTCGTTGATTGCAGCTGTGAAGTGGACGCTGAGGCTCTGAACTCTTGCCCCTCATGCCTGACAAGCATTTTACTGACTGATCCATTCCTCAATTTTATATTTTTTGCACACTCTTTAAAAATCCCACTTATTTATTACTTATTGTGAGGGTATACATGCCACAGTGTGTCTGTGGAGGTCAGAAGATAACTTACAGGAGTCCGTTCTCTCCTTCCACTGTGTGAGTCCCAGGAATTGAACTCAGGTGGTCAGGTGTTGGTAAGCACCTTTACCTGCTGCACCATCTCACTGGCCCTTTTATTACTTTATACATGTGGATAAGCAAATATTTTCATGTATACATTGGATACTTAAATTTCATCTTTAAACTGTTGGTTTCTGTCCTTTGCTACTTTCTGTACTTATTGAGTTATTTTTCCTCCCACAGATTACTAAAAACACTTGATATATTTGTATATCAGCCTTATGTCTATAGTTTGTATTGTAAATATTTTTCTCTAGTTTAAAAAAATTAATTTTATGTGTATGACTGTATTGCCTGCATGTATGCAAGCATGCTCATGTTGTTGCAGTGCCTGCAGAGGTCAGAAGAGGGCATTTATCCCTGGAACTGGAGTTACAGATGGTTGTTAGCTGCCGTGTGGGTGCTGGGAATCCAACCCAGGTCCTCTATAAGAGCAGCCAGTGCTCTTAACCACTGAGCCATCTCTCCGTCCAACTCTGGGTTATTGAATTGTGACTTTTGTTTTTAATATTGGTTTTTTGTTTGTTTTGAGACAGGGTCTTGCTATGTAGGATGATCTTGAACTCCTGATCCTGCTGTCTTCCTGTCCAATGCTCAGATCACATTTTAAGAAAAGTTTTCTTCTGGTAGATTCATGATTGTATATCTTTAGGCCTAATTTTTTTTTCTTTCTAGAATTCATCTTGATGTAGTTGAAAGGATTCAACTTTTTTATTTATTTAAGATAGCTAAAATTCTAATATTTTAACAGTTTAAAAGTTTTATTTATGCGTATGTGTGCCTGCTTGTCTGTATGTGTACCACATGCATGTGGGTACCTGGCAGAGGCCAGAAGAGGTCCATGGAACCTCTGGAACTGGAGTTACAGGTGGTTGTGAACCACCTGATGTGGGTGCTTGGCATTGACCCTGGGTCCTCTTCAAGAGCAGCAAGTGCTCTTAACCTCTGAGTCATCTTTCCAGGCCCCTAACATCTTTTATTGAAATATCAAACTCGCCTATTGAATATATATATTCAATATATATATTTATATATAAAATGTATTGTGAAGCAGTTTCATCACATGGTCCAGGCTGATCTGGAATTCCTGGACTCTGTTGCTTGAACTGGACTGTGGTTTGTTCCCTGCTTTTCCCAGCTGTTTTTTATGTTGACATGTTTTATCATCGTCTGAATTCTCTTATTTTCCTGGGCTTCATCCTGAGCTATATCCAGTTCCACTGATTTCTATTCCTATACCATTACCATACCACTTTAATTAGCCTTGCCTAACAATATTTGCTTTTGGCCTTCCACTGATCTCTACTCAATATTCTTTTTCAGAGCCCTGCTATCCGTTCTCGTGTGTTTACTCTCAGAATCATTTTGTTAAGGTCCACTTACCCTTTCACTTTTTGCATCTGTTCTAAGGTCTCTGGGAGAGTCACTCCAAAACTTTCAGGGAAAAAAAGGGTGACGATTCCAATCAGGACGGTCAGACTGCCCATGACAATGTAGGGCAGGAGCCTGTTATAAGCACCTGTGAAGTAATGAACACAGGAATGTCAGTGAGGTACAAACATGCTGGGGATGCTCTTTGACAAGATGCAGAAAGGCTATGAGTGCAGTTTTAAGCCTGAGCGTTTTCAGAAGAAAAGTCAGCAAAACAGCTATTTGTTCGTGCTGGATGCTGGTGACTGCACTTCTGTAATTATTTACCCATTCAATTATCATAAGATTTTTAGTCCCTGTCCACTGCTCTGTTCTAACCCATTGCTTAGCCATGCATGACAGATGTTCCTTTGATAGAAGTCGCCAAAGTTCTTGTAAGGTGGAGGTAACGAGTTGGGCAGGGAGAGAGCACCCGGAGGAACCAGCTCCTGTGGCAGAGGATGACCTTGACCTTCCAATTCTTTGGCTTCTACCTCCTGAGTGTTGGGATTTTCAGGTGTGTGACATGATTCCTGGTTAACATCATTCTGGGGGTCAAACCCAGGGCTTTGTGCTTAGGCAAGGATGCTACAGCTGAATGACATTCCCTGCTCCACATCTTCCATGGGGTCACCGAGACAGGAGGTCAATAGAGCCTCAGCTTGTACCTCTTCTGTATAGAGAAGACAGAAGAACGCACCTTGTAGATAGTATTTTATTTGACCTTGATCATGAGGCTTCGCTGAACCCCAATGTTGCTAACAGGACTAGTTTCTGTGGACTAAAGGCTTTTTCTTGGGCCTTCTTATATATCAGTGGGCCAGGACTGAACCGTCTGGGCATAGTTTGAAAGTAGAGGGAGAAATGACACCATACAGTATTGTCATGGTGTATCTTTTCTGAGACTTTATATGTCTCTGAGGAGTATGTGCGTAGTTGAACCAGTAGGTAACCAAAAAGGAGCAAGAAAAACAAGGAGGTGTGTCTGTACTTCTCACCAGTCAAGTGGTTAATGAAAATGGCTCAGAACACCATACCCGCCGACATCCTGGTACACCTCCTGCTAAAGCCCCTTTGTTATCATATTCTAAATTGGTACATTTGATTATAGAGAAACTAAAAATGTCTAGACTGCCAAACAGCAACCATGGCAACAAAAACATAAAGTATGGGCTGGCGAGATGGCTCAGTGGGAGGTGCTCGCCTCCAAGCCTGATGACCTGAGTTTGCTCTTTGGGACCCACATGGTAGCGAGAACTAACTCTTGTAAGCTGTTCTCTGACCTTCACAAGCACAGCGAGGGGTTCCCCACATATGTATACACAATAAACAAATGCAATTAATTTTTTTTTCTTTTTGAAGCAGGGTCTCCCTGTAGCCCAGCTGTCCTGGAACTCACTATGTAGACCAGGCTGGCCTTGAACTCACAGAGATCCACCTGCCTCTGCCTCCCAAGTGCTGGGACTACAGGCGTGCGCCACCCATGCCCAGCAATTAATTTTTAAAAATAATAAAGTAAAAACATACATGATAAGCCAGGTAAATATTTATAGCATATACATAGAAGGCTGATTTCCTTGCATTGTGAAGAGCTCACACATATCAAAAAGAGGAGGATGAGCCCAGCTGGTGAGCCACAGTGAGGCCTCTCAGCAGCAGCCCCTGGTGTGCCTTTACTCCTCAAGTTTTCCACCACCTCATCTCCTGTAACTGTCCCCTGAAGGGAAAGGAATCTTAGCCTAACTCCTATCCAGAACCCCCACTACTTCCTTCAACGCCTTTACTGAGTGATGCTTACTGTGGGCACTGAGGATTCTATCCATGTAAGAATTCAGCAGAGGGCTGGGAGATAGTTCAGTGATTAGAGCATTTGCCACACACACAGGAAGACAGGAGTTCAGATTCCCAGAACCCACATAAATGTCAGGTGGGTGTGGCAGCCTGTCTGTAATTCCAGCCTCTGAAGGTGGAGACAGGAGATCCCTAGAGCAAGCTGGCCACAGAGACTAGCCCCAAGTGTGGAGGGGGTCTGGGTTTGACTGAGACACCCTGCCTCAAAGAATGAGGTGGAGGAACAGCCAAGGAAGAGACCTGATATCAACATCAGGCATACACATGCACACATGCATACCAGCACATACATGTGAAAACATGGACACACACGAAAATGGAAAAAGAAAAAAGTAATTCAATAGAGAAATGGCAGGAAGATCCTGGCTACTGTCTAAGGGAGCACTGATGATCATGATGAAAAGGACCTAGTGAGGGCATTTAAGAAGAAACGTGTCTGCAATAGTGTCTTATTGAGAATTGAGGGAAGTAATCCAGCTCCTGGGTGACCAGTGAGGGAACCTGAGCCAACTCCTGGTACAGAAGGGCATAGCCAAGGGAAAGCAGCACAGTGGGCCTAGGTTTCAAGTGCTTGTGACTCACTGGCGCTTAAGTGCAGACTTCGTTGTGCTGAGTAGAAGTTCCCTTGTCACGAGTTTAAAATTTTCACAGCTTGTAAAATGTTACTATTTGGGGTCCATTTTTAACTTGGACTAGTGTAACTCCTTCATGCAATAAACTGAAAAGAGCTGAGCCAAAGAAGGGGAGGGAATCAGCTGGCAAAAGTGCTTGCTGTGCAAGGATGCCAACCTGAGTTCAATCTCTGAGAACTCATATGAGGATTGAAGGAGAGAACCAACTCCCCCAAGTTGTTTCTCTGATCTCCACATGCACACCATGGTATCATCGACCACCACCAGTAGTAGTGTTAGTAGTAGTGGTACTAGTAGTAGTAGTAGTAACAACAACAATAATAATAACAATATAGATAAGGATAAGATAAACCACTAGAAGAGTGGGCATGAGACATGAACTGTCAACATACTGAAAAACAAATGGAACAGCCAATAAACATATAACAAATATTTATCACCATTTGTAATTAAAGAAACAGGGGCTGGTAAGATGACTTAGTGGGTAAAGTCACCTGCCAACAAACCTGATGACCTGATTGCCATCTCTGGGACTTACATGGTAGGAGGAGAGATCAGATTCCTGCAAGTTATTCTCTGACCTACACACACACACACACACACACACACACACACACTGTGGCACACATGCCCATTCATATAGACACAAAATAAAATAACTAAAAATGTAAGGAAAAGAAAACTGAAAGCATCAGTGACATCCATTTATAATATAACATGATTTAAATATTGGCTAGTCCCCATTGTTGGTAAGAATACGGGGTAACAGCTAGCCTCATCTACTTAAAGTTAGGATATGAATCAGTACAATATTTAGGATTCTATTTAACAACATCTGTGAAATTTTAAAGATTTATTTATTTTTATTTCATGTGTATGTGTATTTGTGCACCACATGCACACAGTACCTGCAGAGGCCAGAAGAGGGCAGTGGATCCCCGGAACGAGAGCTACAGATGGTTATCTGTTTATAATTCTTTAAAACTCAACATTATATCAGAATACCTTTTCAAATGGGTATACATTACTCTTTCACCTTTTTGGCAAGTCCATGTCTTCTGACACATGCATGTACATAATTCATTGAACCAGGGTCCAGTGGATAGACAGTAGGTCATTTCTAGGTTTCTGCACCCAAATCTCCAAAATCAAATGCTGAGAGTCGGTGCTCAGATTCTGGAGCACTACAGATTCTGAATTTTCAGATCAGGGAGGTGCAACTGGTAACGTTTATGCAAGAATTCCAAAATCTAAAAACACCTGAAGTCAGAAAGACTTTTGGCATCCAAATATTATAGATAAGGAATATTCAAACTGTACAAAGATTTTAATGGGTGTTCCCCCATGGCTCTACGCCCTGTGTGTATTTCCTGACGCATATGTGGATTCATAGATATGAGGACTAAAATTCTTGGAGCAAAAAAATGCCTTTTGAAAATTTTATAGAGGGGCCTGGGGAGATGGCTTGGCAGTGAAGAGCACTGGCTCCTCCAGCAGAGGACCCAGGTTCAGTTCCCAGGATCCATGTTGGAGTGGACTCTTCAGAGATATACAGCTGCCTTTGAGTCATCCCTGTTCCTGTCAGTAACCTCTCACCCATGCTCTTATAGATAACCCCAATCAACTCATTGGTTCACCAAGTTGGACTTTGGTGCAATCCATACTTGAGGCTATTACGAGTTTCCTTTCCTGGGTGAGTAGATGTGCGTGCATGTTGCGTCCCCTAAGGAAAAGTCTGTCCTGTGTCATGGCTAGCCTGGTATCCACAGATGACAAACAGCACAGACCCTGTCTCAAACAAGGTAGAGAAGGGAAGGACCGACATCTGAGGCTGTCCTTTGAGCTCCACATGCATGCTGTGGCACATGTGCACCTGCACTGACACACACAATGTACAAACACATGCACACACATTTTAAAAAACTAAAGATAGAACAAGATGCATCTCACCCAGGTAAACGAAGTAAGGAGCAATGATGCTGCCCACTCGAGAGGCCATGGAGGTGATGCCCACGGCCATGTTCCTGACCAGGGTTGGGTAGAGCTCTGCAGTGAAGACATACAGCATGGAGAAGGCAGAGGTGATCCCAAACTTCCCCAGCATCACCAGGCCAATGGATAGGAAATCATAATCTGGAAAAAAGACTCATTTTAGCTGTCTATTTTTTTTTTTTTTGTATTTTTGAAGCAGGGTCTCCCTGTAGCCCCAGCTGTCCTGGAACTCACTATGTAGACCAGGCTGGCCTTGAACTTACAGAGATCCACCTGCCTCTGTCTCCCAAAATATTTTATTATTTTTTGTTTTATGGGTATGAGTCTATTTCCTGCATGTGTGTAAGTGTGTCCGTGTCATGCAGTGCCCACAGACATTAGAAGAGGATGTCAGATCCCCTGGAACTGGTTAGGGATGTTTTTGAGCTGACATGTGGGTGCTGGGAACTGAACCTGGGTCCTCTGCAAGAGCAGCCAGTGCTCTTAACCACTGAGCCATCTCTCCAGCCCCACTAGTTATCTATTTTTGTGTTTTGCCTACATATATATGTGTGCTGGTTTCATGCAATGCCTGTAGAGTCCAGAAGAGGGCATTTGATCCCCTGGAACTGGAGTTATAGACAGTTGTGAGTTGTCTTGTGGGTGCTGGGAACTGAACCTGGGTCCTCTGCAAGAGCAGCCAGTGCTCTCAACTGCTGAGTCATCTCTCCAGTGCCAAGAGAATCAATATTAACTCAGATATTATATTGTCATTTTTGCTGCAATGGGAATGCTTTCATTTACATAAAGCATTCCCTAATAACACACTGTCTACAAATGTCCTGATCACGGGACATGGACAAAGATGGTGAGCAGGGTGGCTCTGGACCAAGCTCTGCTCTCATTCCAGATTATTAATGCATTTAGTGACCTTCATTCATTTATCTTACTTGTTATGACAGTTTCCTGGTGAGTTGTTAGACGTTAATACAAGCAAGTTTAATCTTTTTTAAAAATTATTTTTATTTTATGTGTACGAGTGTATTGCCTGCATGTGTGTAAGTGCACCTGGGTCATGCAATACCTGTGGACTTCAGAAGAGGGTGTTAGATCCCCTGGAACTGGAGTTACGTATGGTTGTTAGCCACCATGTGGGTGCTGGGACTCAAACCAGAGTCCTCTGCAAGAGGTCGAGGGCTCCCAACCTCGGAGCTATCTCTTCAGCCGCACCCAAGTTTAAAGACAAGGACTAGTCCTTTCCATCTTGTTTTTCATGATTAAGAAGTACAGTTCTAGCCTGGCTCTGTGGTGCAGGCTTTTTACATGTTTTTTTTTTCTCCATTTTTCATGGGCATGTGTGCGTGTGCGTGTGCATGTGTGTGTGTGTGGGGGGGGTGAGCACATGTGTATGCCTGTTTGCATGTTTTTACATGTGTGTGGATACACATGCATGTGGGGGCATGTGGAGACCTGAGCTGATGTTGGGAGTCATCCTTAAAGGTTCATCTACCTCCTTCACCAAGGCAGGTTTCTCTTGCTGGCCAGGAGCTCACCAACATGGTTACTCTTGCTGGCCATCTTGCTCTGGGGATCCCCTGTCTCTCTGCCTTCCAAGGCTGGAATTACAGGAGGGCTTCATGGCCCCCAGCATTTACCTGAGTTCTAAGGATCCAAACTCTGGTGCTTATGCTTAGTGGCAAGCACTTTAACCACTGAACCATCGCCTCAGCCTCTGATGTGCACTTACCATCCCAGCTACTGATAATGTCAGAGATTGAGACAGGAAGATCACAAAGTCAAAGCCAGTCTGGGCTATATAATAAGTTCAAGGTCAGGCTGGGTAACTTAGCAAGATCTTGTCTCAAAATAAAAATAAACATAGTGCCCAGGATATAGCTCAGTGGTAACGTGCTTGGCTAGTACAAGATCCTGGGGGTTTAAATGTTAGGACTGCAGGGGGTAAAAAGATAAAGTGTTCTATGTGTACTACTGTTTATCAATGATTTATCAACCTGTATTTTAATAAAATGAGAAGGTTCGATACAACAGGAAAAGGGAAATACACATTCCTTTGTGCATTTGTGGCTTTGGTTTTTTTCAATATATTTTAATGGAATTTTTGTGCATTTCATACAATACATCTTAATCATGTTTAGACCCCCTCCCCTATCTGCACCCTCCAAAGACTGTCCACCCAATTTCATGCATTCTGTCATATATGTTAAGGTTTATCAAGTCAGGCTTGTGCTCAGATGCCCCTTCATGTGAGTTCATTCACTGGCGCCTGTTCAGCATGCTTAGCGTCACTCCCTTAAAGAACGCACCCTTACCCAGTAATGATCAGCTGCCAACAGCTCCTCAGCTAAGGTTAGGGCCTCCTGCCCAGTTCTATGCTGGGTTTTTGTCTGATTGAATTTGCATGGGTCCTGTACCTGCTTTCGCCATTGCTGTAAGCTCATATAAGCAAGTTCCCAGAAGCCTGGAAGACTCTTGTTTCCTTATGGTCATGTACCACCCTTACAATCTTTCTGTCCCGTCTTCCGCAATGATCCCTGAGTCCTGGGTAGGTGAGGTTTAATACAGGAGTCCTATCCAGGGACAGCCTTTGGTTTAGTTGTTGTTTTGTCTTGCTATTTTTGAGACGGTCTCTCATGTAGCCTGAGTTGTCCTCAGATTAGTTGGCCTCAGATTAGCTTTGCAGCTGAGGCTGGCCTCGATATCCTGATTCTCCTCTAGCCTCTACCTCCCAAATGCTAAGATTATAGACATGTACCACCACACCCCACTAGGACGGTTGTTTGTGCACAGGAAGCTCCGTAGCTTGCTGCCACCCATCTAACCAACCTACGGATACTCTGTGATGTCAAGGCTGTGTTAGTAGGGAGCAGTGACTCGGAGAGGCTGGTCATAGGTATTGATACACTAGACCGTGAATACATCCAAGTGTTCTGGGATGCTGTTAGCCATAAGTCTCTTCTTACCTGCAGGTACCACTTGGATCAAGAGGAGCACACCTCCTCCCCAGAACAGCACCCCAGCTATGATGTATCTCCGTGGCAGGGTCCGCAGCAGCAGCCAGGCTGTAAAATAAGCTGGAACTTCAATCAGGGCAGAGAGGAAACAGTTCAGGTAGACATCTCCATGTAAATTAGGAACATCGAGAGACAGAGCAAAGTAACCCACTGAAGTTAGCATCCTGAAACACAGACAAAGGAGAAAAATCACAGGACAGCCTAAGTCACTCTAAAAATTTGTGATGGTTAAGAGGTGGCCTAGAGCTTGTGGCCCATAAGCATCCATTAGCACTTGGGGCTATTTAAATAGAAGTAAATTAGGTCAAGTGCTCAGGAGTCACTTGTGGCTTCTGTACTGGGCAATGTGGATCTCAAACATGTCTATCATTGTAGGAAGTGCTGTTGAACAGGGCCAGTCTAAATAAACAACATCCAACAGAACAGACTCCCTTGTCTGGAAATGTGGACATGACTGGACACAGGAGACGCTGAAGAATGTTTCCAGAAACATGCTGGATCTCTGTGTAAACAGACCAAGGTGGAGAACATAAAGACTGACTTAAAACAGAGTGAAAAATTCAACCTTATCACTGTAGGGATTTAGTAATGTTCGTGTATAGGAATAAGAGCCACCTGGATGGATCCAGGGCTTGGAGGCAGTGCCACTGGTCAAGATATATTTGCATCAATAATATGTGCAGACATGTAAGAACGAAGGGAGCTCACATCGAGGAAGGCCACGGGCTTAGCGTCCTTACTTCAGGGTAACTGCAAAGAGCAGTTAGTCAGTTTGGGTCATTCTCTGTCTCTGTCTCTCTGTCTCTGTCTCTCTCTGTCTGTCTCTCTCTCTCTGTTGCTATCTCTGGGATAGGCAGGTTACTTTTTTCCTTCCTCATTTCTTAGAAGATACATGATCCAATGTAGTCAACAAAGCCAATTCATTATTTCTGTGCCTTAAAATCACCGTTATCTTGGTACTTGTGAATATATAAAGTCCAGGCCAGCTCGGGGGGAGACACGTTGCTTTAGCCTCACTGTTCAGTTGTCTTTTCAGCCCAAGGAAGCAGGTTTAGACTTAGCACCTCTACTTTGGTGACCAAGGTTCTCTTTAGTCTCAGCCCCACCACCTTAAGGAATACGGAGCCCTTCCCGGTGGGTCCCTGTACTGCAGACTGACTATTGTTCCCAGGACTTTCCAGTAAATAGTCTCATGAATCAAACTGAGGTTATTATTCTTTTTTGTCTTTTTGAGACACAGTCTCCCTGTAGCCCCAGGTGGCCTGGAACTCACTATGTAGACCAGGCTGGTCTCCATCTCACAGAGATCTGCCCGCCTCTGCCTCCCAAGTGCTGGGATTAAAGGCATATCCACTACGCCTGGCTATTTCTCTATTTTTTTAAAAAAAATTATTTTTATTTACGTGTATGTGTCTGCATCTGCCACATGTGTGTGGGTGCCTGTGGAGGCCAGAAGAGGGTGTCGGATCCCCTGGAGCTGGAGTTACAGACTGCTGTGAGCTACTCAACATGGGTCCTGGGAGCCAAACTAGGGTCCCCTGGAAGAGCAGCAAGTGCTCTTAACTGTTGAGCCATCTCTCCAGCCCCAAACTGAGGTATTTCTAAATAATTTAGAGTCCCACAATTTTATTTTTGCTGCAGAGAAAACCCAGGTCTCTTCATGTTTCCCTGAATGAAAGAAAGTCAGTTGTGCACGTGCGTGGCATGAGCCTACGTTCCAGTGCACTTGTCCCTTACCATAGCAGCACAGACATCACGGTTATGGTGGCAATGTTCCGAGTCCTGAACAGGTCCAGAATGAGGGCTTTCTGCTGCTTCAAGGAGTTTAGCTCCTGTAGCTAAAATAGCATAAAAAAACCATGAGATGAAGAAGTAGACGGAAAGTACCCGTGGTGTGGTGTCTGGGAAAAACTTATGGCTGTAACTAAATTTTTGGAAGGGTGGGGTGTTTTTTGAGACAGGGTCTCCCTGTAGCCCCAGATGGCCTGGAACTCACTATGTAGACCAGGCTGGCCTGAAACTCAGAAAGTCACCCGCCTCTGCCTCCCAAGTGCTGGGATCAAAGGCACTGGCCACCACACCTGGCTTTTTTTTTTAGGAGGCAAAGAGGCTCATGCATCTCAGGCTGGCCTCAAACTCACTAGCTGAACATGACCTTGAACATCTGATCTTCTTTCTTCCTCCATTTCCTGAGATTACAGGCATGTGCCACCTTTGCCGGGTTTGTGTGATGCTGGGGATTGAAGCTTTGTGTGTCCTAGGCAAGCACTCTACCCACTGAGTGATGTCCTCAGCCCTTGAATGCAGCTTTTGCTGAACCTTCAGTATGCTTTCAGATCTGGGACTTGAGACCACTACACGCATCTCCACATATGCTGCGGCTTCTAACAATTTCAGTTTTAGAGAGAATTTAACATTTATTCTTTGATAATTTCATACATGTATATAATGCATTTTGATCATATGCCCTCCCCATTCCTCTCTTACCCACTCCCACTCCTTCTGAAATCTTCCTTCTTCCCAATGCTTCCTCCCTTGTTTTCATGTCTTGTTACAGGCCCTGAAGAAAAATGACCCCCCCACCCCCAGCATCAACTATGACTAACTCTTCAGTGAGGGGTGGGGACGCCCGTGACTCAATGCTGGACTGTTAACAGGCTGGATCTAGTGCAGGTACCACAGCTGCTGTGAGTTCATGGGTACTACGACCAGGTCATTTCCAGAAGCTAGCGTTTCACAGCACTCCCCCCGGCCCTCTGCTGCTTACATTCTTTCTGCCCCCTCTTCTGTGTTGTTCCCAGAGCCTCTACCAGTTATTTATTCATATTTTTTAAAAGTATTTTTATTTTATGTGTATGAATGTCATGCCTGCATGCTTGTGAGTGCACCTATGTCATGCAATGCCACGAGGTCAGAAGAGAAGGTCAGATACCCTGGAGCTGGAGTTATGGACATTGTTAGCTACTGTGTGGGTGCTGGGATTCGAACCTGGGTCTTCTGCAAGAACAGCCAGTGCTCTTCACTGCTGAGCCATCTCTCCAGCCCTCATGTTGTCTTTTTCTTGCTGCATGACATGGAACACTTGTCTCCAGCAAAATGACCAAGTAGTTAGCATGGAGGAAAACCTAAACCTATGGGAACTGAAAGTCTTCCAACGGGGTTCTAGGGGTGCCACAGACAGGACACAAGGGCCAACACTTGGCACTTCCATAGAGACTTTGTTTAAATGCAGAGTGCCAGCCCCCATCTCCACCCCTGGCCTGCTTCCTCTGACTCTTTCGTGGGCTCTGGAGGCCTGGGAACCTGTGTATTTAAAGCTTCTTGGGTGACTGTGATGAGTATCCAGGTTTGGAGGCCTCAGGACAAGCACACTGTTGTATCCAGTGGTTGTCCCTAGCCTGGGTGGTGCCACCCACAAGTCTCTGGATATGGTACGTAAGTATATTGAAGTCCTAAAGCTAGGGAAGCTCAAGGTTACTTTCCATGATGCTCTTGATGGTTTCTTGTCCAAGTAAACCCCTCTACCCCCATCATAAAGTTAAAAAAAAGCACAGTTTGAGTGTGCACTTGACCCCAGAGAAACACAGGGAAATCACAGCTTGATAGCCTTGTGATCAAATGGAGGCTACTCCATTTCTCTGGATCTCTGTTTTCGGGTTGTCCCTAGCCTGGGTGGTGCCACCCACAAGTCTCTGGATATGGTACGTGAGTATATTGAAGTCCTAAAGCCAGGGAAGCTCAAGGTTACTTTCCATGATGCTCTTGATGGTTTCATGTCCAAGTAAACCCCACTGCCCCCATCATAAAGTTAAAAAAAAAGCACAGTTTGAGTGTGCACTTGACCCCAGAGAAACACAGGAAAATCACAGCTTGATAGCCTTGTGATCAAATGGAGGCCACTCCATTTCCCTGGATCTCTGTTTTCTTTCCTGGAATTCTCCTGAAAGCATGAGACCAGAGTTTGGATCCCCAGATCCATGTAAATGCCTGGAGGTGTGGTTGCCCACCTGTAATTTCAGCCTTCCAAGATGGAGACAGGGGAGTCCCCAGAGCAAGCTGGCTAACAAGGTAAGCCACATCAGCAAGTTCTGGGTTCGACTGAGAGACCCTGCCTCAATGAATAAAGTAGAAGAACGATTGAAGATAATTCTCCGATTATCACAGGCTCATCATAGGACCTGCTAGCAGTGGTTAGCGTGCGCATCCCACAATGCTCAGTCTGCCTTGCACCTGGTAGAATCTTCATTGTCATTCTGAACTGGCCACATTAGCTGGCGCAGGGTGCTGCAGATCCACCTACACAGTACCCAAGAGGGCAGTGAGCAGAGGAGGTGTAGGGGCTCAGGAAAGTTTGAGTTCCCTTCACCTTAGTGGGCATGCCTGGTTCAGGACAGATGTGCATTGCCCAGGCAGGTAAAGACAAGGCACAATCAGGGCCTGTGTTTCTGGACTTTGTTCTAATTTGTCCATCTCTGTTTTATGAAGCTTTCATCTGTGTAGCACTGGCGTCTCTATAACCACACTATAAATTTCTTGAAGA